ATTAAAAAATAGTAAAGTTGAAAACACAATACATTTGGTAGTATTCTGTGTATTTTATTCGAACCTTTTATGTTTAGCATCAAACAAGATTTGTTTATAGCAAAAAATTTTTTATCGATAAAGAAGAATTTTCATTATGATAATTCATCAACTCTATCAAAACTACACAATTAAAAAATCTATCCGACAACATTCGTGAATAGTGAAGAAGGTTGTTTATCGTGTACACTTATCGATGTAAAAGTAATTTTCTGTTCAGTCAAATTCTAATTTCAGATTTGTTTATTATTACTGGAATCAAGATCGATCACATTAGTACCATAACATCCGGAAATCAGCGTCGCCGCGGATTCGGTGTTAAAGTGTTAACACTTTAACATATACGAACTCGCGGTGAGTGAGAGTGAGGGTGGAGAAGTGAGAGTGAAGTGGGTGACGAAGTGCGCCACCCTCATCCTCACTTCCTCACCCTCAATTATGCACGTTTACATTTTAACACTTTAACATACGAGAATCCGCGGCGACAGCGATTTTCGGATGATGCCATCAGTACATACCAGCGGCGTATCCAGGAGGGGGGGGAGGGGAGCAAATGGGCAATTTCGAGATTTGCCCATTGTAATTTTTATTAGTAAGTTTTTGCCCATTGAAATTTTACTTAGCAGGTATACCCATGCGGTTTTTTTTGTATAACTCTTAGAAAGATATATGTAAGAATGCCTATAGACAGAATTGTTTGTTTATTTTTGAATTAGATTCTAATTCAAAAATTGAAAGAATCTCATTTCATTTTTATGTGTTCTTTTTGGACCAAAAATCTTTTGGCCCATCGACAAAAACCTTGCCCATTTTGCCCATCGTTTTTTTTCGATACAATAGAAGTTTGCCCATTGGACTAAAAATCCTGGTTACGCCGCTGGTACATACAAACACCTACATTGTAAACGAAATACATAGGCGTCTATTATCATCACAGGCGAGAACTAGTACGAACAAAACAACCAAAATGTAAAAGATAAATACACAAAAACTCATCTAATTATATCTTCGTTTTCTTGTTTACTTTTAGGCACACTGTGATCTTACAGAGCTAAAAAACCCCGTTTAAATAAAGGCAAATATGTTAGTCTTATTGCACAAAATTTTATTATGTTAGTATTATTGCACAAACCTTTCAAGGTGATAAAACGTTTTTTGCTCGGGATCTAGTGGGTTACAGGTTATCGACCATGCTGATTACGAATATGACCATGGGGGTGGCCCTTAGCCCTACGAAGATCCAGTTTTCTAAAAAAAACAGTTTTTCAGAAACTCTGAAATATAATCAAAATCTTCCTTAATGAGGTATGGTTGTAGGCCGCACATTTCTGATTAAAATGAGACATCCCTCAGCTCTACACGACCTTTCCTGGCAAAGTTCTAGAATTTACAAGAAAAGCCCTAAATGTTCATTGCCAGCTCAAAGCTACAGAAATAAGAAGAAATTAATTTAGGGCTTTTCTTGTAAATTGTATAACTTTGCAAAGAAAGGTCGTGTAGAGCTGGGGGATGTCTCATTTTAATCAGAAATCTGCGGGCTACAATCATGCCTCATTAAGAAAGGTTCTGGTTATATTTTAGAGTTTCTGAAAAACTGGTCTCCTAGAAAACTTAGGGCTAAGGGCTATTCCCATGGTCATATTCGTAATCAGCATGGTCGATAACCTGTAACCCACTACATTCTGAGCAAAAAGCATTTTATCACTTCGAGAGGTTCCCTCGTTAGACTCAACTTTAGAGATTAGGTTTCTATGATTTTCGAGAAACTCTCGTTGATTCTTGAGATGTATTTCAAAGATTTGCCATTTTTCCAAGCTTTTTTACTTCAAATCAAACGTCAGATTCGCGATCTTTTTTTTATATGACTCTTGCAGTTTGCGGGAGACGTTGTGTGTAAAATAGTCGGTACTTGTCGGTATTACCGAGATACTGTACTTATAAATATAATAAATACAACATTTCTGGTAAAAGTTTTATTGATCATACTAACAGATAATTATCAATTGCAGCTCGTCTCATGTGGTAATATAAACTTTCCTTTGTAAAAATCAATTAGAATATAGGCAGATGAATAAACTAAATTTAGTCATCATATGTCCTTGAGTTAATTAACGATTAGATAGCGTCTATAAAGAGATTTTTATTTGGAAATTAAGCAGATGAATAATGTCATTTAGATCACGAATCCAACAATTTGAAAAAAAGTCTGATTGATCGAACATTTTTAGATATTATCCTACATATTTAAATTCAATTTAGAAAGAAAAGTTATTGCTTTCTTTGTTAGTAAAAAACTTTTGCTTTTTTATTCGAGTAGCAATCGTCGTTATTTAGTTTCCAATGAAAGAAGAAATCGTCTCGACTGACAAGATCTACTTGCACAAAGAGATAAATCCCTCTGCGAGCTAAGACCGATATCGCTTCGGTAAAACAGATTTCTCATCCAGTTTTCTGCTATTGGCGAAAACAGATGACATCAGTAGCTGAAGCGAAAAAACAATTAGAAGTAATAGCTTGTTATACGGCGCATACATTCTACGTATATAATGGTACATTTTTGTCGTTTTCAGTTTCTATTTCATTGCGTGCAACTGATATTGGCATATTTTATAGTAACATAAGTCAAACTCAAAATGTTTTTTTTTCATTTTTTCTTCTTTCATGCATTTAACAGATAAAAACCTTGTTAAAGAACAATAAGTAGCATAAATGAAAGAAACAAACGTGACATCAGTTACAAAGTATACAAAGAACGAATAGATAGTTGGTTCGTTCTTGAGATGTATTACAGTATACATCGATGATGAACATGTTCTGTTCGATATTTATGCCGTTAGATAGTCATTACGATATAGATTTGTATCCACTTACAGTTAGTCAGATTCAAGGACTATATAAGCCTTTTATTGCTACAAGCTATTTACGCTTCAATGCCTTCAAAGATTTACTATCTATTATCGTGATAAAGAAAATAATGCTTTTTGTGCTGTAATCAACTAAATATGTATTGACCTACGCATAATTTTTGCTGAAAAATTTTTAAATTTGTTTTCAAAAGTATTGGAGGAAAAGATTAAGGGTACACCCCCTCTCTTTTTCGACCCTCATGGAAATCGGGGACACGCCGATGTCTGATCCTCGGTTTCCAAGAGGGTCAAAAAAGAGGGGGGGGTACCCTTAAGAATAAAATGAAGATGAATAAAAATGGAAATGAGATGATTCGTTAAAATTTCTCAATCTTCTCAGTATTTTTTTCAGAAATATTTAAATTGTTTGTAGAGATTTTTATAGTTAGCAGTCTAGATTACATATTTGTGTAAAAAAAGTTTCGTAAAGCATTCATAAGGCAAAAAAACAAGAAAAAAGAAAATAGAATGGGAACACGTGGGGAAAAGAGATAGAGAAGGAAGGTGCATATAAGTGATTCTGGTGATTTTTGTACCGTTTTTAAAGAAAAAAATGACCCAAAATGAAAGTGTCCAAGAAAATATTTTAACACTCTAGATTTATAGAGGGTACTTGAAAGTCTAGAAAAAACTCTGTTTCAAAACTGCCAAGTCCTTCTCAGCCCAAATCCTGGTTGTTCACTTTTTGACTCAGGATCGAAAATGCGATTTTCTCTGCTTTTCAGCTAAAAGGACATAACTGAGCTTAAAAATGTATTGAAACATAAGTTTTCACATCTGCCCTATCAACTGGCATCCTTGGGACACGATTTTTGAACTTTTCGAGGACCAGAAATTTCATCGAAGTTTTCACAGAAACTAAAAGTGATTAGGCAAAACTAAGACTGCAGATTGACAGGGCAGGTAAAATACTGCACAAAAAGCAAAAAAGATTTTGTTCTACTGCCCGTTAAGAAAAGAAAAATGTTAATTAAGAAAAAAGAACGTGCAGGAACCACTAAGAAAAGAAAGGAAAAAGAACCCAAAAACAAAGTGTTTTGCTTACTGTACACTAAGGAAATAAGACAGAACAGAGGTCTTAGCAGTATATATAGAGTAAAGTGTCCGGAATAGAATGACATAAGCTTCTAAAAGTTCGATTTAGTATTAACGGAGAACCATGCATTTTCATTAGCTTAAATCGAACGGTACAAAAATCATCAGAATCACTCATATATATGAGGAAATTATGCAACGAACAGTGGTTAGAGGAAAAAAAACAAGTAGATAAGCAAACAATTAATTTAGGCCGTTTATAACAAGTTCAACAATTGGACTGTTAGGTCAAAACGTCCGGTATCCTCTATGAACCTAACAACGGCACGACAGATTACTTCATAATGATTATGTTCAAAGAAGTTGAGAAGAAGTAAAATAGACAACGATAAAATAACATCAGATATCGAATTCGAAATTTCTTTAAACAACTATGAATTCATACTTTCCGATGCTCTCTACAAAATGGTATATGTCGTGGGACTCTGTTCTCTTTTAGTCAAACATCATTCAAAAAACGACGGAATATATCGCTTTTTGAAATGAAGAGATCTAATCGTCGACTTGATAAGTAAGAAAAGAATCGGACTTTAAAGAGTAGAATATGACTTCGTCTTTTATGACTGGACTAATAAATAATTAGAGGGATGATCATATATGCTATAGAGAACACTTTTGTGAACATATTTTCTACGGTATTGAATAAAACCGTCATTTGTTCAACTTAGTTAGAAGTAATTTTGAACGATTAACGTAATCTTTAAAAAAAATTTTATTATAAAATTTTCCTTTTTATCTAACACAACAAGATGAAGACAGTAAAAGAATCGTAATTGTTTCTATGATGAGAAGATATCATGTACAATGAGAACATATACAATACAGTTGTATGGGAAGTATTCCAAATAATTCAGATCTAACGAGCCTATTCGAAATTTAAGTTTCTGTATGGGAATAATATGTATACTACTTTCAGAGAGATTTTTAAAAAAAAAGACTACATTTCATCATATTATCAAAATGTGCTACAAAGTATCATGCCCTGATTGTGGAAAACCAACATGGAAAGGTAAATATATGATAATCAAACCTAATTGTTATTTAATTAACTAGTTTCTTTTCTTTTTTTCGATAGGATGCGGCAATCATATTGAACAAGTATTAGGTGATATACCAGTTAGTGAACGATGCCAATGTACAAATAAACTGATGGCATCAGAAGCTGAAGCGAAAAAGCCATTAGAAGCTGAAACAATAGTGAAAAAACCACTGGAATCGGAAACAACAGCGAAAAAACCACTGGATGCTGAAAAAGAAGTTAAAAATTAATGGAATTTGAAATAGACAATGCCCAGTCATTCCTGACTAAATCAGATAAACATGTAGTATAATCAAACTACATATAAAATCTTGTTTTCATTCATATTTGTTGTGTTTCATTTTTCTGCTAATTTTAACATGATCAAAGTTGATTACACATAACTGGCTAAAATAAAGTGTGTTAACGTGAATATCGTGTGTGTTCCACTGCTGAATATGGATTGCAGATTTGACATTATCGGATAAAGATAGTATATATACAAGAAAGAAAATCTCCGTTTTGTTGAGCTCTAATTAACATCTGAACTACGACTGATCTCTTCTTCAAAGAAAGGTGGAGTTTCGTTTTTTTGATGTTTTCAACAAAGTTAAGGAATATCTTTCATATGCCGTCCAGGATTTTATATTCAGCCTGTAATCCAGAAGTTATTCAACATCGTTGATAACGAATATATGCGTCGATTATGATGGCGACCGATAAACTCGCCGATCTGCTTTTGGAATTTTGATACGTCGAAATTGCAGCGGAATTTCTGCGAATTTAGAATTCCATGAAAAAATGGAATTTCATGGGAATTTCAACAAATGCAGAAATTCCAATGGAATTTGTAAAATTTTAGAAATTATTTTGAAATTTTGACACACATAAACGTAGGAATAATTTCTCTTAACAATCTCTTTTTTAACGCCTATAAATAGTCTTTTCTTCCATCGCGTCATTAAAGTTGAGAATTTTGTCAAAACTCCACTACGTCCTTCGACAATAATATATACAACAAACACTAGATGTCATTAATGGCCTAATCAAAATTTTTGTCGAAATTCCTGTCATACTATTATTTTCTGACGAAATAACTGTCGAAATTCCAAAAATATTACTGCAAAAGCAGAAATTCCAAATGACTTCCCGATTTGTCATAATCTGTCGAAATGCCAGTGCAGAAATGCCGTTTCAAAAACATTGAAATTTCAAAAGCAGATCGAGGAGTAAATCTGACCACCATTACAACACATTAGAAGGATATGACCTTGATTATGAACTCGCTACATGGTCGTGTCATCCTGAATACGATCTGAATGGTGCATGGACCGTAAGAAAAATTCAAAATAACCTTATTATTGAAGCACAACGACTTACACTACAAAATATTGAAGAGACAAAAGGACTATTCGTTTTCTGTACGACTAGAACAAAAGCTAGGCTAACAAACCATTAGCACGAAATAGGCGCCGAACAACAAAATTCTCGAGCTCCAAAATTTAATTGAGTTTATTATTGTTTTTCTTTTGGTGCCTATTTTGCGCTAATGATTTGTTAACCTAGCTTTTGTTGTGGTCGTTATAACCCGACAAAAACGAAGTCTTTGATTTATTTATTGTTAGAGGCAAAGCGCTAAAATAAATCAAAGTCTTTCACTAACACCAGTTTTTGTCCGAAAGGAAATTTTCTTTCGAAAAGTGGATGAATAATTTTTCACGTAAAAAAACATGTTTTTAGCATTTTTCTAATAAAATAGGAACAAAAGAAAATCAAAACCTTGAAAGTACTTGCATATAGACTATCGATTGTGGTCTACAGAATGACATTTCCCCGAGCTTTCTATCTTTTTTTCTTTTGAAATGGCACAGAAAAAAGATCACACTGTATAGGTTGAAGAATCATTTTTCGAGCCACTGTACTTCAAGCGTACCATATTCGAATCTCGGCGCCACCAGGTCATGTGATAACCTTGCACAAGTTACTTATGTCTTAGTCTCTTAGATAACCCGTTCGACAGCATACTCACTACGTTGTTAGGTACAAAAGCTTTCCGGAAAGCTAGTACGTGGTTAGTGAGTGTGTATCAAGTTACTGGGTGAAAAGAACGTTGCGTCAGACTAGCCTTCTATTCACAGCTGTGGTTGATGAGTAATGAATGAGTGGTGATATGAGTGACTTTCTTCTTCCTGTAATTGTAGTGAAGATGGAATTAGTGGTAATCCATCATCATGTTAATTAGAGCTCAACAAAACGGAGATTTTCTTTCTTGTATATATACTATCTTTATCCGATAATGTCAAATCTGTAATCCATATTCAGCAGTGGAACACACACGATATTCACGTTAACATACTTTATTTTAGCCAGTTATGTGTAATCAATCTGTATATGAAACTCGACTTAAATTTAATTATATTTAGTAATTTTACAACCGTCTTCTTAGTTACTAGAGACCCAGACAGAATTCATTTCTGAAAGAATCAAATAGGATATCACGACCAGTTTCGACCTTTCTCAAGGGTCTCCTCAGGTGGTTTCCTTCGAGAAAGACAGAGTTAAGGCACGACAAGCAACACAACCACTTCCCAAGATCGAACCATAAGTATGGTGCTTTTCACATTTATCTCAACAGCGATGACAAAATATTCGACATGAAACATTCTTTGAACATTAAACGAATTCTCTAAAGATTGTAAAATTTGTTTAATATTACACAAAATAAATCTTGATGATCTGTTATACTCTATCATCTTATAAACATGTTAAATACAGTCGAACAAAGTTCTTAGTATTGATCGATCTTCAAACATATTTTTGTAGCAAAACTCATTATCATCGAAATTGTGATAAAAAATATAACATTTTTTTCGAGTTTGAAAAATGATTACAAATTATAGTCAGAAATTTTTCAGCAAACGAATATACTGAATATATGGTCAAAATAGAACGAATTTTCATGCATTGCTGATAGGTTATATCACGTTACTGAGAAAAAGTGATATTGGATATACAAAGTCTACGACATCCTGCACATCTGCGTGTGTTTTAGACGAACTAATAATGCGATCGTGAAAATTTTTTTGTCCGTCTGTGACATTAAGTCAACGCTATTCGAGTAATTAGTTCGAGAATTTTCAGAATTGTTGTGTTGTGGCTGGCAATTAGACGGTAGCTAGAACGATTCGTGCAATTAATGTTTCAATGGTTGAATGCTCAACTAATTGAAGAAATAATGATAGGAGAGCGACAATGTTAACGATATTTTGACTATATTTCAACATTTTAAATGTCCAAAGGTGTCCAAAAGATCTTGGAAACCCTAATGATAATAATAAGTTTTGAATATTTTTCTTAACACTATCATTAATGATAGTGTTACACTGGTAATGATTCATTACCAGTGTAGAGTGCAGAAAAGTGGCACCTCTAATACCCCGATATATTTCTACAATTGTCAAACTTGTGACATGGTTATCTGTATCATTGGTACTTATGCATCGTTGCACCACAACAGGCAGGTTGTCGGCGCCAGACCTAATCAGAGAAATAATTAGAAAAAAAACCTGTTTTCTTATTCAACAACAAAGAACAAACTTTTTATCTTATCTTACACCATTAAAATCCTAGAATCCTTAAACTCTAAAGCGCGCATACAGCGCATACTACACTTTAACAATAATATGAAACAAATAGATAAAAGATTAAATAATCTTTCTTACATTTAAACTCACACTGGAATAGTCTTTTGTTTGATAAAAAAATGGTAAAAGTTTCAGTTTATGCAGCAAATACAAATTCTTCGTAGTACTGAATACTACGAAGGATTTGTAAAGGAAAAGCAAGCAAAGTTTGAAGTTTCGCTTGCTTTTCTTTTACAATATCGCAGGAGAAATTATAATAAGAGAAATAATGCCATTTCAGATGAAACATAACTGACGTTTAATAAGCCATTTAATAATGCGTTTTAAATGTATGCCAAAAAAACTGGCTTTTAACACCCAAATAACTGTTAAAAAACTGTTAGGTAACAGTCAGTTTATTGTCTGTTATGTGAGTGTCGATAAAGGCTCGAGAAAAGGCAGCTAACAGTTACTGTTTACTGTATATTTTTTTTTTTGCTGTTATAATGGCAAAAAATAGGCATTTAACTGTGCATCATCCTAAAATGTAAAATAACTATCATAGTTAAATAGCTATTAACAGACCATTCTTCAATTGCAAAATATACAGCGAAAAACTGACATTACAAATGGCTGTTTCATTCACTTGTCTATTTTGCACTCATGGCTGGTATATGAATATATATCACTGAAATTTGAAAGAAATTTGCAAGTTTTTCTCTTCTCCAATTGCACGAGTCATCGAAACTTGTGTAGTGGAAATCGTCGCTCACTCTGGATCTGGTACCATTGATGGTACCGTGGATCTAAGGAACCAAAAATGTTAAAAATTTTGGAAATCACTATATTTGAGGTACTAATCAAAAAAAATTAATCAAGGAAAACGTTCGATAGTTGACCGTTAAGAGCCAGTAATGGTGTAAAAACGACTCTTACATGATGCAATTAACTGCCTATTTTCAGCGAAAATTTCTTGAAAATTCATATTGGTTTTCCAGATATATTTAAATGACAGTCGAGCAGTTGTGATTGACTCATTTTACCCCACACGGGATAAAAAGAGTCAATCTATTCAAATACATCGAGATTCTTTAAAAGAAACCCAAGCTCATTAACGATAAATGCTAATTTATTAAAAATTATATCATTGTGAAGCTCTGCTATTCCTCTATCCACCCATATGATTTTAATCTTCATATCTGTTACCTTCATTAAGCTAATTACACCACAATAAACGTGTCATTTTCAAAAGAAAAAAAAAGAGTCAATTAATTCAAATACATGGAGTCTTCAAAGAAGAACTTCTACACGCCTCCGGAAAAAGATTTAAATACTACTTTAAGTGTACAAGTTGTCAACAAATCATCATCTCGAACATATGCGAATAATTGGTAAAAAGAGAAATTTTATGATAAATTAAAATTCTTGATAATTTTGACCATGTTGTAGTCGTAATCTAATTCATATTTTGAATTAACAGCAAGTAAATTAAAAAATGTGTGTTCACGCCTTATTGTGTAATACATTTCTGGGAATCGAATTTAGGAAAATAATGAAATTCTTACCATGAAAAATAGACAAGATATTTAGAAAATTTTAGCTCTTATTCTATAAGTCCCGAACTGAGATCAAGATCGCAACGTTTTGCTTTCCTTTTCTTCTAACAATCTAATCAAAAATGTTTCTTCTTCGTGATTGATCTCGTCGCTCATTAATGATGTCACACATAAAATAGATTAAAGTAAGAAAACAAAAATTAATTGAATACGAAGACTGCGAATTTTTTTTCTTTTTGAACACTAAAATATCGGCAATATTTGCCCGTTCATGATATACGAGAATGCTTTAGGGGAACAGTCAATTTTATTTGGAAAACAGTTTCAGGCAGATCTGATCTTGGAAAAAGACATTCGATTACAATTTTTGAAACTGTTTGTAACGGTTAAAACGGATATCGGCAGTAATCTCGAATTTTCGATGATAATGAGTTTTACTACATAAATATGTTTGGAGACCGATTAATACTAAGTAATATTTGTCATGCAAATATCTTATACTTAAAAAATGACTATATGAAATAGTTTAGATTCTAAAAAAAGACTAGAAAGATAAAATTTAGTTGAAAATGTTGATGTATCCTAAAATATAGAAACATTTGCTTTTCTATTTATCGCCTCATAATTTGTAAAAGAAAGAAAACTACATTCACATTTTATTTGTTTATGCAATTACAAAACATGGCAGTTATATATAAAATAGCTCTCTAAATTTATGTTGTATAATAGCTATACAAAACGAATGGAATAGAGAAATAACAATCGATTGGAATAATGTCGGAGTAGTACCATCGGAATAGAGAAATCGCCCGACCATAATATATTTCGCAGCCCGCTCGTTTAGCTTAAAAATAAAGTTAACTCAACTTTGTTTGACATTATATATTTAACATGTTTATAAGATGATAGAATATAACAGATCATCAAGATTTATTTTGTGTAATACTACAGACATCCAAGATTAATCTCATAATCTATGTTATCTAATTACAGAAGCATATCTAAAGCATATTTTTTCCATGTGTTGAGAAAATGAAAGAAGAAAAAAACTGAAGAAAATAGATTGTTTCTTTTCTGTAGGTGATGATGGAACGTGCGAACAATTGACGTCAGTTAAAGTTGTTATTCGAATAGAGGAAAAGAAAAAAAATAACATAGCATCATCTTCATATCCATACATAATCATAATAGCTGTTAGTACACATACACACACACACACACATATATATATATATATATATATATATGTTAGAAAGAAAAAAAAAATTTTCTTAACGAAATAGAACACACAGATATATGAACGTTTAAAGAAGAGCAAGTGTGTGTGTGTGTGTGTTCGTTCATACAAGAGAAAGAGTGAAAAAAGCATGTTGTCGCTGTTCATTAATAATATATTTTTTATACTAATTTGACATCATCGAATGTGTCTAAATAAGTTTTGATAGACAAAGCAATCAGAGTTGAGCATGAATCTTTATGGTATGTAGACAATTATCTATTATAAAACGTGACTGACAACAGTGCAATTATAAATTTAAATTTAATGTTAATGTAGAGCCAGGTATTTTTAACGTAAAATTTTTCTATTCAGTTAGATTACATATTGTTTAACATTAAAAGTGTTTTCTCAAGAAGAATGATGAGTTCCTTGTCAAAGACAATTGAACTACGTCTAACACTTTTAGAGTGTTAGAAATTTTATTTCTCCATAGTCGTTAAATAACAGACAATCTTATAATCGATAAGGTATTCCTTTAAGGGAGAAGGTTTCTCAGAAATAATGATTATCATAGAAACGTTGATATTGAGATACGTACATATGCAAATAACATGAAGTGTCTGTCTACTCTAAGAATTTGTGTTCAGGTAAATGCAATCTACGTATCCAGGTGCGTTCAAAGAAATTGTTTAGAAGATTCGAAATTTTCACAGAAGATAAAAGAAACTTTTTTAAAGAATGATACAGGACTGTAGAACTGTCTCTGTTCTGTAAAATTCAATATGAATTAGCCAGCTCTACGTGATCTTTCTCCGATGAGAATAAGTCTTTTAGTTTAAATCTCCAAAATCCTCTAATTAATAATCTTTGATCAAAGGACTAGTCCGCACAAGACTTAAAATTAGCTCACCAACTTTTATCGCTCTCATCTGAAACTCATTAGAATCATCATATTCGTTGATTTCGACCTTTATGACCGCTTTCAGTCGAATACATTCGACCGAATCTACTTGAAAACAAACAACTCCTTACCACTATCGGTATGACTGTAAAATCGAAATTTCTCCGTAACTATCTAATATTTAGTCTAGTGCAACACATCGTTTGATGCGCCTTGATAAGTTCTACAGTATGTGTTAATTCATTAACACGAAGTCTGGCAGTAGGTTTTATAAACTAAATACTTCGCTGCTTAACCCTAAGAGAAATTGTACATCGGTTTCTCCTATTATAGTCTTGACTGTGAACATAATTAATCAACGTTGTTGATATTTTAACCCTAGTTTCTTTAATATGACAATTGTAGCCGACATACCAAAGTAGAGTAGCCGCACGACTGCAACAGCCAATCGTTTGTCCTATTATATATGTAAAATACCATTCTTGGATGATTTAGTTTCGTCAAATTGAACGTAGGAGAAATAGATTTTAGGATTTATATGGCGAAATCGTAATTTTATACGAATCTCTAGTCCGCTTTTCATGGAAAAATCCCCAGGGAATCACCTGACGGATTCTCCAAGGAGTTTAGAATAAGTCCCTAGGGATTCATCAGGGTGTTCCCAAAAACAAATAAATACTGAATTCGACTCATGTGCTCAATTTTAAGCGTAATTTAGCGTTTTTTTCATCGAGTTTTTATCAAATTGAAATTTATTTTATATAAGAAAACCTAACACTTTCTTTCCAAAATTTGTTCTCACCTGAGCCACATAGTGAATTTCGTCCAGTGGACGAGTCACTCGGCTAAAATATTAATGTTCACGACAGTCAAAAATTAGACTATGATATAAGCTCAGGCAAATCAGATTCACGATATATTTTGCGCAGTGGAAGTAAAAATGACTATTCAGATAGGTGATGTCTAGAGTATGCTTTTTTACGCCAACGTACGAGAAGAAATAAATAATTCCAACTCATTCTGACGTGAAATCAGCTATTCAAAAGTAAAAAAGAACAAATGAAGTCTTTGAAACATGTACCTTGCATATCTTTCGCAGAAGTTATTAAAGCGGAAACCGATGTACAATTTCTTTTAGGGTTAAGCAGCGAAGTATTTAGTTTATAAAACCTACTGCCAGACTTCGTGTTAATGAATTAACACATACTGTAGAACTTTTCAAGGTGCATCAAACGATGTGTCGCACTAGGCTAAATATTAGATAGTTACGGAGAAATTTCGATTTTACAGTCATACCGATGGTGGTAGGGAGTTGTTTGTTTTTGAGTAGATTCGGTCGAATGTATTCGACTGAAAGCGGTCATAAAGGTCGAAATCATCGAATATGATGATTCTAATGAGTTTTAGACAGATGGGAGCGATAAAAGTTGGTGGGTTAATTTCAAGTCTTATGTGGACTAGTCCTGTCTACATAACGAGTGTAGCAGCCGTACAGCTTCAAAACTGTATATTGTCGCAGGAAAAAAAGCCAGTTTTTTGAAACATTAACCTATTACCCTCCACGGGCCACTGGATGTGACCATTTGTAAAGACCTTACAGAAAATATGCAAAACATCAAATCTGAAATCTTTCAAGACGACGCTATCAATTAATTGAAAAAATTTTCCCCATCACTTCATCTTCGAGATATATGACATATAGAATCGAATTTCAGCAGCTCTGTTGGGTTCTCTGCGGGAGCAAAGGATTAAGTGCAAGTGATTGACAAAGAGAGAGGAGAATGAAACTGAAATGAAATTGTATATGTCATATTTTCAAGTTGATGTGGAGAATTAAACTTACAACAGACTCGTTGTTTATAACTGTCAGTCAAAACACATCTTAAGATTATAATATGATTCTAAATCGCACTTCAACAGCGAATACCTTGATCTCAAACATTTCTCAGCGGGATTTTATGGAATCCAAACGTTTGATCAATAATAAATCTAGAATATAAGACAAAGCTTGTGAGACACACTTCCTTTATGCGATGTCGTTAAAATATCATCCTAGAAACAGCAATGAAATTAATTTTAGTCAAATATTATGACAAGTAACATTCTCATCATACCAAACAGTTGTCACAAACGTCTTACTCTATTATTTATCATAAAAAAGTGTTTAAAAGATGTCATTTTTTCCCTATATTATCAAAAATAGACTCAGTTGTTGTGTTAATCGATAATGCTGTCGTTTTGGCTTGTCAAATTTGGCGTGTGTTTTCGTTTTCCAATAACCCCAAGGTTACTTTAATGAATGTCTTGGTTTATCATAATGAGATAGGTGATACGTATATGAAGAATGGAAAAAAGAGAGGTTGAAGAATAGAAGTTTTGTGAATGTTGAGAACAAAACAAATATGTCAGTAATGAACTGTATAATTTACTCCTTGCGGTCGAATGATTGTCTCTACAATTAGTTTTGATGTGAGATTTGGATTTTATAAATTGATGATTTACATGTTTAAGTTTAAATTAGTTTTATGAAACAACAATTATCTCTGACACACTAAAGAGAGTGAAGGGATATTTGACCGTAATATTCATCATCTGTCTGTGTCTGTCATTAGTCTGAACGTTATTTAAATAGATTATTTAACCTTGATGTTTAACAGACACGCATAATGACATTTTGTTCTGATAAATAAATATCGCGGTTTATTTTCTCTGCATTTGTCATCGTCAATTATCAATTATCGTTGTAACTTATCATTTCTTTTTCTACATATTATAGATGTAAGTTGTGTTCATATGGAGACTCAACATCAATAATTGACTGAGAAATGCGATTATTATCATATTCATCATCACCAGCTATTCTGGAACAAACAACTATTTTGCGCGAAACACAGCCACTTGAATCTCGAAGACGTGATCGTACGGCAACAGCATTCGACTATGATAACTATGTATTGTCGCTTGAGGCTGATGAACGAATATCCGGTTCATCTACATCCATTATTAGTCAACGTGGTCAAGCACGAGAATCATCATTGAAAACCGATTATCGTCTATCGTTCACATCAACATTACCACATCAAGCGAATTATATTCGTCAGTATTCTATGCACAGTCATACATCATCGGTAGAAAGTGAGAGAAAAAAGAAGATTATTTCACGGATTGTGACAGTTGTCGCTATCGTTATTTTTATTGTTTGTATACTTGTTGTAACATTAACGTTAAGATTATCGCATAAAATCGATGAACTTGTTAGACTAAAACAACTAATGCCCAAACCAATTCAACAATATCCCATCGACGGTATAGTGTCTACAGCATTAACAACAATAACAACAACGACAAGAGCGGCAGCGGCAACTTCATCTTTATCCCGAACATCATCGAGTAAACCATCATCAATTGTGACTAGTTTGATAAAACGTTCGAGAAAGAATAAGGCTATTAATTATTTACAAACAGAACAATTATATTCACAGAGTAGTTAGCTTATATTCAAACATTTCAACTTAAGCTCGGTGAAGATGAAATTTGATTACAAAATACCGATGAATGCACAACTTTTGTGACAGACTCACAGTTATTATTCCATACATTGTAAATATCAAAATAGGTGTTTTTGTCATTGAATAATATAGTTTCGTATTTTCGATACTGAAAAGAACAAAAAAGTCTTTATCCTGATCTATCGATGAAAAGGCGAGATCGCACAATGGAAGAAGGCTTATGAAGAGGACCAAATTTTCTCACAAAGGACAGGGGACGATAAAAGCGAAAATCGGCTCCATCACATATAAATCTTACATTCACAGATCTGTTATAGTTTTTATTCGCGATTACACCAAACATATTTTTGCACCTTAAAAATCTTTTTCAGTACCCCTGGGAACAGTTTTTGCACACAAAACGATTCTCTCATTAGATGAACTTTCTTCAGAGTATCTTCATTATTTTATCTGTTTTACTCAGAGGAAGCCTCAACTATTACATACCATTCGATAGAGAATTTCATGGGCTACAAAATGTTATATAGACTATTGAGTGGAAAAAATGTAACTGGATAGTCTAACATCCAAAATACTCTTGAGCATCTCAACAAACAAAGGTAGCTGAACAAGAAAAACCAGATTGTGTGTAAACATTTTCGGATAGGACTCTATTAATTTTTTTCAGGGGCTGTTAGTCTGGAATATTCTCTTCAAAACGAGAGTGAATGGGGATCTTGAATTTCCGCGGCTCGGACTTTGATCTGGAGCTCGTTTTACGAAATTTTGGGTTTTCACCTAATCTTAAAAGGTTCATTATTCTGGTAAGGTTCATTATTTTGGGTTTCACCTAATCTTAAAAGGTTCATTATTCACTCAAAAACATCACAACGAGTTCAAAACTTCAGAATGTAGGGTATTTAGGCTCTTCTATATCCTATTTATAGAAGATCTATAAAGAGCTTTACAAAACTCTTAAGGTTTTTCGAAATGGTTTCTGAAAAACTCATTAATCCAAATATTCTTTTTCGACCTTTTCTATCTTATAATCATGTTTAATGGACAAAATTATCCGTATTCTGAAGTTTTCAACTCGTTCTGATGTTTTTTGACTGAAGAGTGAATTTTTTTATCATTATACGAGAAAGGCCTGAAAACCCTAATTTTCGCAGAACCCGTTTTTCCCGATTATATTGCCGTGAACATCATAGTATTCATAGCAATAACATTGCCAAAAACGCAACTTTGGCTTACGAGGGAAGGTCCCCAGGTGTTTCCCTGAGATTTCAAAGCAATGTACCCCACTTTGCTAATTTAAGGATGCTGATTATGAATCTGAAAACCATTCGTGCTCTCTCTCGTTCAGTCCTTCAAGAGTTATAAGCATTTTATTTTAA